ATTATAATGCCATGCACGGCCCGGGATCAGCAGTGCTGCCTCCACCACCTGAAAACATTTCTGTGGGCCAGCTTTCACCTGAGCGAGAAAGACGCAATTCCTATCAGTGGATGAGCAAAACCGTGCAGTCCTCATCAACCGGTGAGGCCAACAAATGTCTTTCAATAAATGAATAAACATAGCTTGCTAAGAATTTAAAATATATGGCATAACACGCAAAAAGTAAAACGTTTAATTATTTATTAAATAATAGGCCTAAAACATGTAAACTGCGCGATAATTTAAAGGTCTTGAAATCAGCGACCGAAATGTACAAAATGACAGTAGTTCATGATTATGATTTATTTTCTCGCTGCTGTAGAATTAAAATGACATAATTTAAGTTATGTACTAAAATGTAGCTACATTTTTTTTTAAATAAAAATTATTAGAAAAAATAGACTATGTCTAAAAATATTGCAAAAACAAAAAAGAAATATCTTATTTTGGTTTAATATTGGACAAATAATTTACTCAAGGACCAATCGTGCTAAATGCAACACTGTTCAAAAATTATTAACTTTACATGTTTGATGTTTTCCTCAAGTAATGGCACATCTGACAAAATATTACGAAATGAAAAGGCCTAATGAAATTGAATAGTTCTACACACACACACACACACACACACACACTAACTGTCCTTCTCCCTTTCATTATTTGAAAAAACGGAATATCTGAGTTATATTAATATATTTGTTCCTTTACGCATGGGACAAATAGTTGTGGCAAAATGAAGGCGTTGGGAATTGGCGCCAGGGTCACTTATAATGCTAATTTGCGACTCCCGTAAACAAGATGTGAGGTCTACTTTTACTGTTACATTGTCTCAGGTTTTGAGGGTTATCTGTCATATTCAGACGGCGACTTCTTTCAACACCTTTTTGACTTTGATATGCAGCAGCGCGTCTTCCTCTGTCTCTGTTGTTGAGGGTTATATAATCTCAAAGAGTGACAAACTTCACAGCACATAAAGTTCTCCCGTCTCCGGCGCATGTTAAAACAACACAGCAAAAAAAAAAATGTTTTAAAGAAAACAATCACAAAGTTACATGACCTAACTGTAAAAGGCCTTTTTCATAACTAAGGCTGAAAAACTGAAAGTTTTGGAAATGACGCGAAGATAAAGAGGCATATTTCAATTCAGATGTTACACTTTATCGAGCTTTCAGTGACTGCATCTAAACTTGTAATTAAAAATCACTAATTAATTGTGTTTTTAATGAGTTTAATCGAACATAAAAATATATAGTTTTGTTACAGCTAGTTAGTCTGTACATCAAACAAGTGCAGCCTGCTCTTGGTTTGAGGAAAAGATTTTTGATGGTATCTCCTTGTAGTTCGTTGTAAGACGTGTGTTGTCTCTTAACACATCAGTGGCGTTTGGGTATGTGTCTTTGCGTCTCTTTGTTCTGCAGTTTGTTCAAAAAATCTCCTCAAAGAAGATCAGAAGCTCAGTTTGCATATCTAGCAATGTAATCTTAGTTTATACAATTGACTGAATATTTCAGTGGCGTTATGATTTATAGTTAAAATGAGAGATCATATAGGCTAGGCCTAGTATTGTAAATGCAACGATAAATATAAGAGAAGAAAGTCAATATGATAAAAAATTATTATAACCTAGAAATTATACAGTGCACAAGTTCTTCCTCTGCCTTACAATTTTATAAATCGCAATATGACATCTTTTAAGCATGACGTTTAATTTGGTCTTTATTTCAGAATTATCACTTTTTTATGACGAATTTCTTCATTTTATGAACATTGTTTCATGATTATTCGTTTATTTCCCATTTTTTAAAGGCAAAACCAGAACGAAGGAGAAATATCGAGTTGTGTACACAGACCATCAGAGGCTGGAGCTGGAGAAAGAATTTCATTTTAATCGCTACATCACAATCAGAAGAAAATCAGAATTGGCAGTAAACCTCGGGCTTTCAGAAAGACAGGTAAAATTACTTACACTCTAAAAAATGCTGGGTTAAATACAACCCAGTGCTGGGTAAAATAGGGACAAACCCATTTAATCCCGGTTTGATTAAATGTTTAACCCAACCTTCTGGGTAGTAACCCAACCGCTGGTTCAAAACAGCTCAATTGCTGGGTTTGTCCCTATTTTACCCAGCACTGGGTTGTATTTAACCCAGCATTTTTTAGAGTGTAACTTTAGATTTTTACTTATGCTAGAGAATAGGCTACGATTCATCTCACTAATTGAAAACAATTAGACGTTGACTAATTCTTTCTAACCGTTTGTCCTTTGTCTTCACAGGTAAAGATCTGGTTTCAGAACCGCAGAGCTAAGGAAAGGAAATTAATCAAAAAGAAACTGGGTCAGTCTGACGGCAGCGGAGGGTCAGTCCACAGCGATCCCGGTTCTGTCAGTCCCCTACCGGTACCAGGGTCACTGAGTCCGTCAGACATACACGGTTCTCTGTACCCACCCCCAGGAATGAACGCCTTACCATCTATGAGGAACATACAGCAAGTTACTGTCACTCAGTGAACTCGAACTTGAAAGATCCAACTTTAACTGAGCACTCCAACACGCTGAAAGGACAGAACCGAAGCGGACCGCTCGCGTGGCCAAAACGGATTACAAACTATTACATGACAGGCAGCAAGGCGCGTGTTGTGGACTACCACAGAAGAATCACGTCTTAAATACAACGAAATGCTGGAGGCTCTTCAAATATTGTTTTAATAGAATAGTTTTTAAGATTAAGAAAAAAAAAACATACAAAAACCTTGTTCGTCTGATCCAGAGACGAAATATTTTAATGGTTTGTTTGTGTTTGCTCAATTAAGATATAAATATCATTTTCTGTATGTGGTGAGTGTATCTAAATGTTTGTAAATAAAATGAAACTACAGGTACAGCGTTTCTCGGGATGTATAATGATCCATACCCTGGATCTGTTAAACTTGTATTATCTGTGTAAACCAATGACCTGCGATGGCAGGCTGTTTTGTGCTCCAGTTTGTGTCCAAAGCGCACGTCGTTCACTTTCTTTTCACAGGGGTGATGTGCAGGTGTCACATAGGCCTACCTAATACGGGTATAACGTTTGTTTCCAACAATGTGTAAATAAAAAGTTTTGCAATACTTTTTTTATCATGTCTTGATATATTCTTAAACGAATGAAATATTGCATGCTCGTCTGGTTTAGGCATTTTGCTTGACGGACAGCAAGCATTTAGCCTAATTTAGGCTATACCTTTTAAACGTGAGACCACCGTAAAATCTTCAAGCGTAGGCTACCTACAAAACTGCATTTATTGTGTAAGGCTGCACAACTTAATTTGTAAAGTTCTTAGGCTGTAAGGCTATGTATTTCTGTACGAATGCAGTAGCCTATTGAAATTGGATGATTAGATCAAACATATCGTTTATATAAACCATTGGTTTAGCAGGATTTAGTTTTAAATGGCGATAAATAAACGATTTTCACACAAAAAAAATGGACGAATAATAGCTTAAAAATAAATTGTGGGAACAGCTGCATGTCATTAAATATCGAAAAATGGTTTACAAGTATAGAAATGTCTGCCAGGAACCTCTTAATCTAGAATAGCCTATTTGGGAAGAAAACAATCAGTATAAATACTTCCTTGTTTGCAACATCACTCAGTCATCAGTGTGACAAGCTCTAAATCTCCCAAGTATTTAATGTTGTAATGTGCTTGGTATTTATTTATTTTTTCAGTTGAGAGTGAGACATTAGAGCAAATCAACAGTTTGATTACAGCAGTTAAGTACACTGATTTCCCTGCCTTGCTTTTAGCCTATTTGCAAACAGTATACAGTCTTGACTTTATTATTTTAAAAGCATTAGGTACAAATACATTTGATGTGAGATTTGTTAGATTTGTTTGATGAACTATTACAACAAATTATCACTGAACAACAATTAACAAAGCAGGAAAAATATCAAACGTCTGGTAAACACATCAAATGATCTTTTAGGCTTAACATTTTGACATATCATACCTTCTTGACAGACCCCGAGAAGCCAATTTTGTTATAATCTATTGAATTGGTTATAGGCTATTTGAGGGGGAAAAACCTACAGAAAGACAAGAAAATAATCACATTAAATTTTTGCAAAAATTCAAAACTTAATTCAATATTACCCTGAAACAGGATCAAACAAATATATTTTCTGTAATTGTTTGGAAATATGCCTATAAATGAAGGCCCTGTCAATAATCACAAACCCTGGCCATAGGCCTACCTGCTGAGCACAGCTTAATTTAGACAAAATGTGCAACTATGTTATACACTGTGGAGTTTTTAAAATGGCGTCTATGTACTTTGAATTTTATTTATTGTTTATTGCTAGAAAACCACAAAATCGCACAATTCGGGGTTATAAACATTTTGTAAACAGGTCCCAAGTAGGGTTGAAAAACTAATTAAACAGCTCAAATAATATTTAATTTCAGCTCTTGAAATTGACAACAAAGCAACATTTTGTGCATAAGCTCCTCACTTCACTCAAAATGTTTAGCTTATACAGAATGTGTGAAAAAAAGACTAGCACTGTACACGAATAAATTACAAAAAGAGTTTCAGGGCCCTTTTGTAATTTATTCGTGTACAGTGCTTTTTTTTAATGCCAGTCATAGGCCTATTACAGCCAATGAACATGACAGTAGTTTCCAACATATAGTATAGAAAACATTGACTATAGACTACAATATGTAGAAAATGAGAATATACAGTAAAAAACTAATACACGTAAAAAAAAAAAAATAAATAAATAAATAAATAAATAAAAATAAAAGGATATGAGATCATCGTACAAATAGCTTAAAAGCGTCACATAGAGACCTAGTGCGTTTTGCTTTACTATTTTTCAGCCCAAGTAGTAACTCAATATAATGTTTCATATCTAGGCTATCTGAAATAACAAAAAGCTGGGGTTTATGTACAGTGCCAGTCGACGCTGCGATGACGCTCCCTTCACAGCACTGGTGCCATGGCGTCATGAGCGTCCTACTGCCCAACATGGCGGACTTTGATACCATTTATGAGTTAGAAGAAGAAGATGAGAGAATTGTGAGTGAAGAACATCTCGTCAGATACTGTCCCGACCCTGTGGTCATGCGTGGGGCTGGTCACTTCACCGTGTAAGCGTATGAATGCGGCAGCACCGCTGTTAGTCACTGTTAGCTCATGTCTGTGTGTGTATAGCCTCCATGCTAAGCTCACTGCATGTTTTTGTCGCTAAGTTGTGGTATTAAAATACACGTAGGCCGAGCTTCTCCAGCTGTGTCCTAACAGTTAGTTTAAGCGGAAGAATCAGCCTTTCTTACCCGAAGCCTTGTTGTTAGCACAGAGATTTATGGTTTTATTGCTGTCCGTGGATAAAGGCTGCCCGGTAACCACACTCAAACTCATTAGGCTCTTTGCTTTAATTTGAAGTTGTGGGTAACTGTACTGTACGTATGCTGAGGTGAAATTAGGAGATCAGATAATATTTTAGTTAATGCAATAGTTTTCATTGGACAGTACAAGTACCCTTGCAACTGTCAGTTATGCACACATTTCTGAAGTTGAATCACCAGCAGAGCTTTGAGGTATTTTATTATTTAATGTGGTAAACAACGTGATGTTTCTACATGGGACAGTAGATGGATCATAAACAGACATCACACAAGACACTTATACAGCCTTCAGATTCTCTGGCAATTCAAGCTAAATGTAGAAACTCAACCTTCTCACTTTGTTGTGTCTGTGTTGATTTCAAGTCCTTAATTTACATCTACATTTACGTCTAACTGAAATGAACCCAGTGTTAGCCAAGCTATCTTTTTTTTCCCTGTCATGACAAACAGAGCCTTTGTTTGTAAGGTCATTTCTGCCACATAAGAAAAAAAACATGTTTTGGTAAACATGAATAATTATGAGATTAAAAGTCTATATTGTGACATTGTCATAATTATGAGATAAAAAGTCTATCACAAAGTCAATTCACTGTTTATACCATAGTTTCGACTTTATCGCATAATTACAACTTGGAATGTCATCATTTCAATTTTTATCACATAACTATGACTTAATGTCTCATAATTTCATTATTTCTATTTAATAATTCTGACTTTTGTGTCATAATTTTTCTGTCAAAATTGACTAGTAGTTCAACATTGTTACATTTCATGTCATAATTTGAACTTTTTATCATAATTATTACATAGTATCTCATGATTATTATTTACCAATGCATTATATTTTTTGTTATGTGGTGGAAATTACCCTTAACATGTTTTTTTTTTCCCATAATCATAAGCTTTTTAAAAATCTGTTTGCAGGTTTGGACTAAGCAACAAATTTGACACAGAGTTTCCTTCCGTTCTCACAGGAAAGGTAATGATTTCTAACTCACATCTACAAAGTATATCCAATTGAATTTTCTTTATGGTGTGAATAAAATATCTTTTTTTTCTAATTGACGTGACGTGACGTGACGTGACATGACGTGACATGTGGCCAAGTATGGTGACCCATACTCGGAATTAGTGCTCTGCATTTATCCCATCCAAAGTGCACACAGCAGTGAACACACACACACACACCGTGAACACACACCCGTAGCAGTGGGCAGCCATTTATGCTGCGGCACCCGGGGAGCAGTTGGGGGTTCGGTGCTTTGCTCAAGGGCACCTCAGTCGCGTGGTATTGAAGGTGGAAGAGAACGCTGTACATTCACTCCCCCCACCTACAATCCCTGCCGGTATGAGACTCGAACCCACAACCTTTGGGTTATGAGTCCGACTCTCTAACCATTAGGCCACGACTTCCCCCTTCCCGACTTTCCCTGTTGACCTTTAACCTTACACCATAATTCACCATGCTATGAGCCTCTGATTAATGAATCCCTTGATGAAGTCTCTAAAATGGTTTTAATCCAAGCTTGCTGCATTTTTGCAACAGAATCTGTCAATAAGTAAACCGTCCAGGGCTCCGGTAGGCAGGGATCCCAGCGCTGGGAGGACAGAGCTCCCAGAGACAAAATAATGAAAGAAACACTGTGCCGTCCACAAGAATAGGAAGCTTCCTGGGTCGGACGCAGAAATACAAAAAGGCTGCAGGGGGAAGAGCAGACCGAGGGAAGTGCGGGGCAATAAAGCGGAGCTCCAGTATTGTGACCCAGGGTGACATGTGAAGGATGAGGTCAGGATTATGATGACTGAAGGGTGCAGATCAGGCCTGCTGGGCTTTATTCCGAGTTCTTTTGCTGTTTGCAAAGAGACCTTTGCATCCTGTCATAAAAGATTACGACCCCGGTTTTATGGCGTACATACCCAGAGAGGAATGAGCAGCCATTCATGTTGTTTAGATGGCGCAGCCACAGGCCACGGGCTTATCTCATCTTTTTGTCCTCCCTTTGCCTTGAGAGTGTCAGAGCTTGGTTGGCAAGTTACAAGCGTGCAATTGTGAGATCTCCAGAGAACATCTGCAAACATTACAGTTTTTCTCAATTGCTAACACACTATAACTGATTCGTTTGGCACAATTTTCCAAGCCATTCATACAGTTCCTGAAACAAAGACACGTTTCTCAAAACTTTTAACACATTTGACCTGTTTTCACATACACTCCAATTTGCTCAGTGTTTTCAGCTAAACTCTACACAAGAACGGCATCATTTTGCACAGGTTTAACCATGTTCTCATTTAGAAAACACAAACACACAATATAACTACCTCAAGAATCACAAAATTAACACCAATAGCACACATTTATCCATGTGTGAACATTCAGTAGCAAAACTGATGACACAGCAGTCAGAATCTCAAGATAGTATAAAAAGGAGCACAGGTGATTATGTGATTTGGAAAATGAATCCTACTAGTGAGAGACAAAGAGGAAGAGGAGGGAAACGAAAACTGAAGGGGACGGGGTCAAAGGACATTTATTCCTGATGAAATACACAGCACTATAGTTGATCATGTTCTTGTGCATGAGGACAGCTGGCCTACAGGCTCATCTACAGGCTTTCAATACTACTTACAGATCAAATATAATGACAGAACAGTAGCAGTACTTCAGATGAGAGAACTTTTACTTTTTATATATATGTACAGTAAATACTGAAGAACAAGTTGTACAAACTCATAACTGCTGAACTAATTTGTAGCCAAGTACAGTACTTCAGTGTTATGAATTGATCTCATTAGTGTGTAAGACTATGTTGTTGTGTGTGTGTTTCTGAGGGCTTGTGTGTCATGTCTGAGGGCGAAGTTTGTTTTTTTCAGCAAGATTGAATAGTTTTGAGTGGAGAGCTTCATTTTGACCTGAAAATAGGAAGTATGGGGAATTGGGTGAGAAGTTATAGGTTTGTCTTTAGAGTTTCGAGAAAAGGAGTCACAATTTCAAGAAATGTGTTTAAGCAATCGAGAAAAAGTGTAAAAAATGTTCTTAAAAAAAAATTCCAATTACTTTATATGGAACTTTTCTTGTATTTCTTAAATGAACATTTTGTTGTTGCTTTACTATTTATAATCTATTAAAAATATTTATCTTTTTAATATATTTTTATTTCTATTTATTTAAATATTCCCTTACTACTAATGCACACAGAATCATTTACTAACTTATTTACAGTCCTGTTTTGCTTCTCTCCCATCTGCTCTAGGTTGCTCCAGAGGAGTTCAAGACGAGCATCAATCGAGTAAACGCTTGCTTGAAGAAGAACCTACCGGTCAATGTGAAATGGTTGCTCTGCGGCTGCCTGTGCTGTTGCTGTACGGTGGGCTGCAGTCTGTGGCCTGTCATATGTCTCAACAAGAGAGTGAGTCCTTCCTCAGACATGACCGGTCCTTCCCCCATTAATCTGTATTAATTACTTACTGCCTCATTTGAACACCTAATAAATAAACGCACTCAGTGAGGAGGCAAGTAGTTAACTGCATCCACTGTGTGTGAAACTGATATATGTAAGGAGGCTTGTTGAATTGTGGAAAGGTGGCGATTTTACAACTACAAATTTTAAGTTATTGGCCGTGACGTGCAGCTTACAAGGTGCTTAACTACGAGCTTCGCTCCATAAATGCCTCTGAAGTCTTCATGCCCTGGGAGTTTTATTGGCATTTGTTAAGCATGTGTTTGAAGAGTTTGACAGGGTGATTAGCATAAAAACCTGTGTGTTTGTCTATTTTTGTTTGTGTATAATTATTGATTTGTGAAAGCTCATTTTTGTTTGTGTGTTTTCAGACACGAAGATCCATCCAGAAATTGTTAGAATGGGAAAACAACAGATTATATCATAAGGTAAGATCATAGCAGAATTAATCTCAGACACATAAAGATAAGGACAGCGGATCATCTCCAATTTAGCTGCCATGTTAAGAGCCGTTCAAGTCTTGGTGTGTGGTGGATAACAATCATTAAAATGGCTGCTAACATTTGACCCTGTCAAATGCTTGTTGCCCTCGCAGCCATTTTGGTCTGATGCATTGATATAGTGCAGAGTCTGACCAGACTGTGGAAAGGTCAGCAGTAAAAAGCCACGTTCGTTTTGTTGTGTCTCGAAGCTTTGACTGACAGACATGTTAAGGAAGCTCAGCTAATCGCTGACCACTGCTTGACCTCAGCTAACCCTTGTGTGTAAAATGTGTCTGAGCATCTGAAGTGCTTGCGTCTATTTTGAAGATCTCCCGCACAGCTTTGTCTAACCCGTCTCTTCTTGTCTCGCCTTCAGCTGGGGCTGCACTGGAAACTCAGCAAGAGAAAATGTGAGAGCAGCAACATGATGGAATATGTAAGTTTGTGGATGTTGTTTTTCATGAAAGTTTCTTTACGGTGATTAAAAGTAAATCACTTATTTTTCATTTCAGGGCTATAAGCTGCTACCTAAATTACTGCAAATGCACCACAAAATTGATTGTGCAACAATAATTTAAAATCTAAGAGAAGTCAGGGAAACTTTGTGCGTCATCTCATTAGAGTATTCTCTCTGATTTATCATGCACAAGTGAGTTGTGATGACTGATTTTTGAACAAACGTCTCTTATGTACTGATTATTTTGAATGAGTCAGTCAAAAAGATTCAGCCTGTGTCTCACTTGTCGTTTTGTGACAAATTCAATTTCATAGTTTTGTTTTTTGTAATCAATTGTAAAATCATCACAAATATTTTCCAAAAAAAAAAAAACAAGATCCAATTTTATGGTTGAATTAGCTCTAAGGGAATATTTGTTTGTGTGATCATAATCAACAATGCTGTATATATGAAGAGTTTATTTGCAAAAACAGATAACTCCGTTTTTATTCATTTTCATAAATCATGTTTTTTATTTTGTTAGTTAGCTGTAACCGTGATCTGGCGCTTTTGCGATTGTCTACTACACGGGGAAGTCAACAAACTGACTTGTAAATATCATGGACAGGATGTACAGTGTGGTATACCATGTTTACATTATGTAATTTAGCTGGTTATAAGTTTTTCGCCAAGATATTATTGTAGCATAGTTTGTTTATAAGCCCTGTCTCTGTAACATTACACTTTATATGGACCTGTTTACCCAGTAAGCCATAAAATTTACGTACAAGATGCCACTCGAGTTAGGGCTGAAAATTGCACTTGAGCACACGAGGACAAGCAGATTGTCCTGGAGGTTTTTGATATTGTTTTACAATGTCATTAGTTGTGTGTTTAAAAACGATAACGTATGCCAATCAAGCAAAATTTGTTACCAAGAGTAATGTGTTCAATATACAATGCCTTTTTGATCATCTTAAAGTAAATTCTAATAAACTGTTATACTTATTATTTTTAATATTTTCTATTGTATGTAAAACATTTTTTTTCATGCTTCTAACCTGTGAATATAATATGATTGTATGAACATATGGCATTCAGAATATTCCTGTCCAACAGTTTGTTCAAATAAATACATTTATGTAAATGCTACATATGACGTTTCAATTTTAATAAATGATATTAATGAGAGAGTGCAAAAAAATCCATCCAATCTTTACTCAAACACACTTAATCCCATAATGATGATTTTTTATCAGGCCTGTTACTAGGCCCTTTTTAGGGGGGCCTTTTTGTGGGCCTAATATTCTTAGGCACATATTTTATGATCGCTCCTCTGTAGTGAGCCTTGTCTGTATGGACATGAGGAATGGCATTTTGTACCTGACAAGCGCCCTCATTATCTCTTGTGTATATGTATTTATGAAGAGTTTATTTGCAAAAACAGATAACTCCGTTTTTATTCATTTTCATAAATCATGTTTTTTATTTTGTTAGTTAGCTGTATATTTTTTTAGTTATTATTATTTAATCAAAACAACCCAACTGCAGTTTGATATTGATTGGAATGCAGGATAAAAAAAACAAAACATGATTTTAAAAAAATGGCGTTATCTGTTTTTGCAAATGAACTCATATTTATTTTAAAAACAGGCAGAAATAACTTTTAAAACTGTGATATTTATGTGTCACAAGTACAACCATGTTCATTAAAGTGACGGCATCAAATTGTACCTTATGTATGATAAATACAAAGTAAAAAAACCTATTTAACTTGCCTTTCAAAAATGTTTTTGAAAGATATCTATTGTGCTCACCAAGGCTGCATTTATTTGATTTGTATTAAAAATAATGTAACAGTAAGAACTGTAATACTGTGGAATATTACAATTTAAAATAACTATTTTTCTTTGTGAATATATTTTAAAATGTGATTTATTCCTGTAATGCAAATCTGAATTTTTCAGTCTTCAGTGTCACATGATTTTTCAGAAATTATTCATCATATTATATTAATGTTGAAACAGTTGTGCTGCTTAAAGTTTTTTGTGCAGTCTTTTTTTAAGATTCTTGGATGGATAGTTTAAAAGAACATCATTTATTTTAAATGTAAATCTTTTGTAACATTTTAAATGTATTTACTGTCACTTTTGATAAATTTAGTGCATACTTGCTGAAGAGAAGTATAAGTTCTTCAAAAAAAAAAATCGTAATCTTACTAACACCATAAGATTTGAATGATAGTGTCTATAACTTAAACTGTCGTAATCACAGTACTGACTGTTGTTAAAAGCTAAAGTAGGAAGCTTTGCACTCAGTGAACTGAAGCGTTTCTCAACAATCATCTTTATCATGTGATTCTGTAATTTGTAACTAAAAAGGTAATTTGACTCCTCAATGTTTCATTCAGTCCTTTTTTTTCTTTTTGTTCTGCATTTTCTTACAAAGTCAGACCTTAAGGTTGTAAACCACGAGGCTGGTGATTTTTACCCCTCAAGTGTGCTTTCATAACATTGTCTTTTTTTCTGTCTACAGGTTGTTCTTATAGAGTTCTTACCAAAATATCCTATATTCAGACCTGACTAAAGGACTTCTGCTGGATCCTCGTGGAAGACCCTTCATTCCTCTCCTTAGTGCCTTGTATATATGTCGGATTGAGGGTCTTCACTGGGTTTCTACAAGACCCCTTCTCCCAGTACCTTGTACAGTAGAATTCGCAACACTGTCACTTTGCTTTAGAGCAGATTTTGCACATTTCCTGATGTAGTAGAAGCGCTCCTGTGTTGCACTCAGACGTTTTGTTACATATAATGAGAGATGGGAAGAAAGCAAACTCTGATGCTGTTTAAAAAGTGCATTTACCCCAAAGTATTGTTATGAACAAGGCACCTTATGGTGTGAATTTGCCTTATGTTAAAGGACAACAGTGTGTCAGAAGTGTGTGGTGTTTTAATGTTTTCAGAGTGTGATGACTAGCGTTGGGGCTTTTGAAGCTAGTGCAGCAGATGTTTGAACTAGCTTAGAGGAACAGTCAGCACCGTGATCTGGCACTTTTGCGATTTTAACTACTGCTTGATGTCACAGCTTTATACTATATGGTAAAACAGTTTTAAAATCAAAAGTACAACAAAAAGCTGTAGAAAGTAATCCTTAGAGCTTAATAAATTATTATATTAGCAATGGAAATAATTCAGATTAAATAGATACATGGCATTTGAAGTTGTGATTTTAATATTGCTTGCTTTTTGTTAAAGATAGAAATGACCCATTGGTTTACATTATGTAGAGCGGGGGTGCAAAGAGGGGAGTGTGAAGAACAAACGTAACTCAGCATGAATGATTCGGATACAAACAGCTGCATTTGAGGTAGTCTGTCCATTTTCACTAGCGCTTTATGTATTTTACGTTTCTTAAGTATTCATTTAGCAACAGCTTACAGCAAAAAATAATAATAATAATTTGATATGTTGAGCTTTATATGGCCTCTAGGGGGCAGGCTAAGACACAATAAAGAATGTGGAGCAGTTTAAGTGCATTAAGTTTCAAATTTGGCCTAAAATGATGTCTGAGAATGTCCTGGTATGACCATGTCATCTGCATTTGGAATATGTACGTTAGCCTTTAATAATATCTTTTTTACTCTGTTTGTTTCCGAAATATGTCATCTGAATTAGTCAATTTTAAATCAACAAAATATCCTTTTGTGCCACAGTTGGATTTTACATTCTCAGCAGGTGTTTGGTGACTTTTGCACATCTTCAAATAGACCATCAGCATTTATCATCATGACCATAAAATAACATTTTTATGTTTTTTCTTACAAAAAAAAAACTGTTTTTCTTTAACAGTTGGCAACCTATTGCATTAGTTTAGCCTGTCAGCAGGATTTAAAACCTTTTAATCCTTGGTTCATAGTTCAAGGCTTAAATTCAAACTGTGCAGGGCTGATTTACATCCTGCACAGGTCCCCTGTGTGACAGCACGTGGCCCGCTCGCCCTTCAAACTGCTCAGATGGTGTGATACTCAACAGGACAAAGCCGCAGATATTGCCTGGGAATCCCACTGGGACTATAATGAACGATTTGGAAGGGGAGTGAAATATGTGGCTTTAGCATTAACTCTTGAGTAACAGAGAAAAGCAACACTAATCCAAACAAGGTTAAAATGTTGAAGCCACTGTTGTTCTGGCAGATGAGATTGAGATCTCCAGTGTAGAATAATTCTCAGCAGATTACATCCATATTTCTATTAAATATAAATCATTATTTGGAAATCTGTAAGAGTTATTAAAATGATAGAAAATACCTAATATAATCAATTACAACTATATCATACTACAGATCAGAAAAGTGAACAAAACAGCTACTGCTTAGAACAAGGATGTAATAAAATAAAACAATTTTTATTCTGTCATCATAACAACCCTTTCACATTTGCTGTGCTTATCCAAAAACAAGAACAAGAACATCATTAAAACTGACTAAAATGCAAAAAAGTAAAAAGTAAAAGGGTTGAACATACAGATGTCAGAGGCAAATAAACATTCTACAATTGATGAAAGGCCAAAGATAACAATTGGCATTTTTGGTATACAAGCAATTAAGGCAGGTGTGGATCAGTGTTTGTACATATTCATATCCAAGGCACCCAAGAGATACATTCTTAAAAATGTGTCAAACAAGCCAAGCTGTGGTTTAAAAAACAGTCCATACTATCACGTCAACAGCAACTACATAGTTTTACACTAGTGTAACTATTCTCAGAACATATAACAGTGTAAAAAGTGTCATCAGAGCGGCCATCAGCATGAGAATGTGATGTGGTCCAACTCTAGGTAGATTCAAAATAATATTTATTACCTCACTACTGACCACTTGATGTCAATCATAAACCTTCTAAAAGATTATTACTGGTTATACATGGAAACAAGACGTTCCAATCTAAAATATACACCCAGGCAAGTGGCATGATAAATACAACTTCTTTTTAAACAGGAAGTCAAGCTTGTCCAGTGCAGTTCACACTTCTTCACGAATACAGCTCAACAAAGAGCAATGCACACTTGTGAAACACTAAATGCCTACAGTGGATTAAATAATATCAACCTTTCGGCTTGCTTTTAAATCTTGTGGTTAACGATTGTTAACAGACTTCTTCAGTTTTTCACCCTGCTCTTCTCCAATAACAGACTTGTGCATCAACTTAAAATCCAGTGGTGGATCCAGTAACAGTGATAGAGTTTAGGCTAGTCTTTAAACCAGGCTGCCAGGCCAGGAGACCACGGTCAATGTGACTTTGTTCTTCTGCAGTTTCAGCATTGGGATCAAGGAGGAGTTATTCATGCCAACTGTAGTAACTCCATTCACAGCCACAATCTCATCGCCGCACCTGCAGGAGGGCATGAGGGAGTCAATAAACAAAGCAGCTCCTTTTATAGAGGCAAACTCACTGCACTCAAGAAAAATGTTCATAATAGCTTGTCAATGATGACAACTGGAGCACGACAATTAAAGGGATAGTTGATCCAAAAATTACAATTCTGTCATTCATAAAATTACGGTTGAACCACTGCTGTCACATGGGCTAATAATGTTATGTTCATAATAGCTTGTCAATGATGACAACTGGAGCACGACAATTAAAGGGATAGTTGATCCAAAAATTACAATTCTGTCATTCATAAAATGACGGTTGAACCACTGCTGTCACATGGGCTATTTTAACAATGTCCTTACTACCTTTTTGGGCCTTGAACGTGGTAGTTGCATTTCTGTCTATGCGGAGTCATAAAGCTCTCCGATTTCATCAAAATATCTTAAACTGTTTCAAAGATGAACAAAGGTCTTGGGTTTGGAACGAGATGAGGAATCTTCATTTTTGGGTGAACTATCACTTTAAGTCACTTCTACACTACCATTCAAAAGTTTTGTGGTCAGTAAGATGTTTTTGTTTCTCGTGTTCACCAAGACTCAATTTATTTGATCGAAAATACAGTAAAACCTGCGATATTGTGAAATATTATTACAATTTAAAATAACTGTTCTCCAGTTTCATATATTTTAATATATAATTCATTCCTGTGACGGTAAAGCTGAATTTTCAGCATCATTACTCCAGTCTTCAGTGTCACCAATTCTTCCTCAAGAAACATTTCTTATTATTTTAAAAACATCTGTGCTGCTTCATATTTTTGTGGAAACTGTGACATTTTTCAGTATTCTTGGATGAACAGAAAAGTTCAAAAGAACATACTGCATCCTTGCTAAATAGAATAATTAATTCCTTTCAAAAACAACAAAACCTTACTGACCCCAAATTTTTGAATGGTAATGTTGTTAAAGAGCACAGGAGACTCACTTGAGGCGTCCATCAAAGTGAGCTGGTGTTCCAGGCACTATGGTTTTAATGAAGAAGGGCTGCTGGCCACGACTCTCCTCATATCCTCCCACGATACTGAAGCCCCAGCTCTCACTGTTGGTCTTCATCAGCATAATATCACGACACCAGTGGATGTAACTTGGGATTAAAAAGATATGGTCAAATTATGAATTTTGATCATGTTTAAGCCCATACGGCCATATACTTGCCCAAAAGTTACAGAAGAGGACATCAAATTAGAATTTTGCACTCAATAATCGATATCTCAACAACAAGAAAATCGTACCTGGGCAGGCCCAACCAACGGGTCCAGAGAGGAGCCCAGTTAATGTCGTCCTCTTTGGGTCCCTCCAGTGTGTCCATGTCTTCTCTGGTGCTGGATTCTCCGTCCTGTTCCTCCTCCTCAGCAAAGGTTTGGATAACTCGCAGTGTTACTGTGTTCTGAGCGGCCTGAGTCTTTAGGATGGTCACCGCTTCATTGTAGGTAAGATGGGTCAGGTCGATATCATTTATACTCAGCAATATATCACCTGCAGCAGCCATAACATCACAGTTAACAAAAGCATTGCACATGATGCTCAGAGCTGAGCATTTTATATGGAGGCATGAGGAGAATTACCTGTTTTGACAGTGCCGTCTCTGTGTAGGCAGCCCACCGGCTGCACACTAGTGATGTAGATGGGCAAACGGCTGCGGCACTCTCTCCCACCCGCGATGGTGATGCCTAGAGAGTGTCGAGGCTCCTTCTTTAGACTCACTGTCTTCTCTTGACTGGAGAACCCAACGGGAGGCTCCTGAATCCAGATAATGTACATTAAACAACTTGCACAATAAAAAAAAAAAAATGTATGACTAAGTTTGTATGTCGATGAAAGCAACAGCAATTTCTCCAACAGCTGAATTAAGTTACATGCATCTTTCAAATAGTCATGTAAACACTGTACCAGTCCAACTATGCCAAAAACTGGACTATCAGATCTAGATATTGCAATGCTACTGTAACTTGGTTTTATCTACTATGTACAATAACTTTCAAAATATTTTTTTTTGTTTTTGAAATGTGTCTCATGCTCACCAAATTTGTATTAGCCTAATTTGATCAAAAATACAGTAAAATAGTAATATTGCGAAATTCAAATTTTTATTTTAACATTTTTGAAACTGTAATTTATTCCCGTTATTCTAATATGCTGATTCGAAGCTCAAGAAACATTTACTACTATTATCAATGTTGAAAACAGTTGTGTTCCTTAATATTTCTGTAAAAGCCATGATACATTTTATTCATATTCTTGAACTTTATTTGAAATTATTCCTTTCTTGTAACAATGTAAAATACTTTACTGTCACTTTTGATCAGTTTCATGCATCCTTGCTGAATAAAAGTATTAATTTCTGTCTTTAAAAAAATCATACTGGCTCAAAAACTTTTGAACAGTTAGTATACACACAGTAAACCAACTACAACTGGCCTTGCATTGTGAGCATGCTCTAAAAGACAGAGTTGATGTTTAATCCTTTAAACATTTAAGTATGGTTATAGTTGCGTCATGTATACTCAAAAGACTGTACCTCAACTATGCAAAAACTTACTGCAGATCCATTGTAACTGCATGCAAGCGTGCTTAATGATTAGTAATAGTGTTTTGAAAAGGTCTGTATTTGGGGGATGGGTGAAAAGTGAA